AACCAGAAGATAGACCTACAGGAGTTAAAGCTGCTAAGGCCGCGGGTAAGAGGAAGAAAGTTGGAAAAGATGAAGAGTTAACCAAGATAGAAGTACTGCTGCAGATGAAGAAGGATATATCAAAGCACAGTTTGCTTGAAAGTTTACTTGCCAAACCCGAGCCACTGTCTGACTTGGAATTGGCTCTTAAAATTAAACTGTTATCTGAAATGTTGGAATGAGTTGTGGTTTGTTAGCTTCAGTCATGTTTCTTTTTTGCTAGTTTGCAATTAATTTTTAGTTAACTAACACATTTCATATTACTTTGTTACAGGTGCAGTACAAGACATGTACCAGATGAAGACAAAGATGGTGTCTCTTTCCTTATTCAATCACGGGTTTTAGCTTTTGTATTGCCATGTCAGTCACGGGTTTTAGCTTTTGTATCACATGTACCATATTATTTTCTGTATTTCAGTCACGGGTATGAATCAATACAAAGATGGTGTCTCTTTTCTTTTGTATTTCAATCACGGGTTGTATGTTTGGCTTTTATATAAGTCAGTTTGTAGTGAAACTCTTGTACTCAGAACTTGTACTCAATATATTCTATTAAGTTCTTCCTCTTGTTCTTCTTATTATTTCACTTGTTCTTCCTATTATTGTTCTTCTTATCATTTCACTTATAGTTCTAGTAAGCAGGACACTTCAAACACAAACAAGATATTATCGTGACTTTGTTCTTCCTCTTGTTCTTCCTATCCGACTTTCTTCAAGTAAGCAGGACACTTCAAACATCAATCAATATATATGTCATTATAGTTCTCTCTTTCTCTCTTGATCAAACACATGATATACTCATGATTTATTCTCATCCTTAAACTAGACTTTTAATAATATACTCAATTTATTCTCATCCTCAATTTAATTTATATCATCCTCAATTTAATTTATATCATTGTCAATTTAACAAGATCATACTCGTGCTCAATTTAATTTATATCATGCTGATGAATGTTCTTTTTTTAAGTAATGCTGATGAATGTTTTTTTTTAATAATGCTGATGAATGTTTTTTTTTGAATAATGCTGATGAATGTTTTTTTTTAAGGAAGGACTCGCAAGTATGGCAGATGAAGTCGATAGAAGATTAAATGCAGTTGTGGATGAGGCTGTCGATGAATATATTGAAGATACATTCAAAAACATTGTGAACAACCAAAGCAAGAAAGAGCGCAAACGTGCATATGTCGAACGAAACCGTGAGGAGGGTCATACCCGTCTATGGAACGACTACTTCAGTGAAGAACCGACATTCCCGCCTTATTTATTCCGACGTCGTTTTCGCATGAACAAGACAGTATTCATGCGTATTGTCGACCGTCTCTCAGAAAATGTTCGATTCTTTCAACAAAGAAAAGATGCTATCGGCAGATATGGTCTATCTCCAATACAAAAGTGTACGGCAGCTCTTCGTATGCTCGCCTATGGCTGTGCGGCTGATGCCGTTGACGAATATCTTCGACTTGGTGAAAGCACGGCACTTTCGTGTTTACCCCATTTCACAGAAGGCGTTATACAATTATTTGGAGATGAGTATTTACGCAGACCCAATGCAGACGATCTTCAACCACTACTCGATATTGGAGAGATACGCGGGTTTCCTGGGATGATAGGAAGCATCGATTGTATGCATTGGGAGTGGAAAAATTGCCCAACCGCTTGGAAAGGACAATACACGCGTGGATCAGGCAAACCGACAATTGTCTTGGAGGCTGTAGCATCACAAGATCTTTGGATATGGCACGCCTTTTTTGGTCCTCCAGGTACCTTAAACGATATTAACGTCCTTGATCGGTCTCCTGTTTTTGATAACATTTTACAAGGTCGAGCTCCAAGGGTACAATACGTGGTGAATGGAAACCGGTATGATTTTCCGTATTACCTCACAGACGGCATATATCCAAAATGGTCAACATTTATCCAATCCATCTCAAACCCTCAAGGTCCTGAAGCAGAGTTATTTTCTAAGGTTCAAGAAGCAACCCGAAAAGATGTGGAGCGAGCTTTTGGAGTATTGCAAGCTCGATTCGCAATAGTAAAAAATCCGGCTATTTTATGGGACAAAAGACAAATAGGGATGGTTATGCGAACATGTATCATTCTGCACAATATGATAGTAGAAAATGAACGCGATGGCTACACTCAGTATGACACATCAGAGTTTGAAGTTCACAGGTGGATATGTCTTACTCTACAATGCCTTCAAACCTCCGTACTATGCTTGACATACGGAGTCGTGTTCGTGACCCGCATATACATGCACAATTACAATATGATTTGATCCAAAATATTTGGAACAAATTTGGTAATGAGAAAGATGTTTAATTATTGTATGTTTACTTTTAAGCTTTTAATAAATAAAAAATTTAATTTTATATGTTTTAAAAATTTTAAAAAAAATTAAGGACTCCATAACTAGTAACAAGATTGGAGAACGATTTATGATTATGATCCTTAACTATTCTAAAAAAAAAAAATAATAATATTTTATACCTAAGGACTCCAATGGTGGGTAACACCATTGGAGGTGCTCTAACTAACTAAAACTCCTCCCACCTCTCCTATTTTTCTTTCCTATCTCTCTCTACTATCCTAGAAATCTAATTTTCCATTTTTTTAGTTATTTGGCGAATAATCCCCTATTTAATTTACATATTCAACATTTTTTTAAAAAAACGCGTTGTAAGGTAAGAAAACAAGAACTGCAATATGTATTTGATTTTTTGTGTTTAATAATGAAATTTATTGTACACAGTTTTATACATCTGCATCCATATTGTTTTCTGAAATACACAATACTTAATAAAAAATTTCTTTTATGTTTGAAAGAAATACACTAAAACATTTTTTGGGGGAAATTGGGAAATTAGGCCATATTGAAAATAAAATTTTCTATATATACATATATATATATATATATATATATATATATATATATATCTTTGTATTAATTTATCAATATTGGACACAAATAACTTTATATTAAAATTCCTTTCTTGCCTCTCTTCCTCTGCCACTCATCGTCCCCCGCAACACACGAGTTAAGCCTTTATTAAAAAAACCCTTTAAATCAAAAATTTAGGAAAAATTGTAACTGATTTTGTTTAAATTTATCTGAGCATTCATTTCAATTTTAAGCATATAATTATTATAGAAATATATAGTTATTATTTTGTTATAATTTGATGTTATGTATAATGTAATTGATATTATATTTGATTTATATGCAATAAATAAGTTCAGTTAAAGCGTTTTGATTTGTTTTATTTTATTTATTTCAAAAGTTTGATGTTATGTACAATAGAAATTGCTTTTTTAGTTTTATATTTTACTTTTATTCATTTCATCAGTGTAGTTTTAGTTTTTTTTTTTTTTGTAGGCTCCCATCTTCTAAGATCAAGTGTAGTTTTAGTTTTATATGTTTTATGTTTAGTATGATTTGTTTTTATATAATTGAAATATAAATTAAATTATTGTCTAATGAAATATCTTTTTATATTTAACTATTTTAATAAATAGAGCTTTGGTTATATATTATCAATATATTTTATTTTATTTTTATAAATCACATAAATAGAAATACAAAATTAAATTATATTTGGATGAATATATTTTTACTGTTTAATTTTATCAAATATATAATTGATTATGTATTATACATAAATTTAAAATATTGTACACATTATAAAGTTAAAGGTGTAAAAGGGCATATATGTTCTAATACGGTCTTATTAGCCAATTTTTTTCCTTTTATTTTTCACATACTCTATAAAAGGTTTTCTAGTGCATGGGGATAAATAACAGAGAAATTCTTTAAAAGAGACTTAAAAAAATTTCGTCACAAATATAGATCTTATAAATAAAAATGATCAAAATTGAGTTAAATATTTTATCAAAAAAGTAAATATATACTTATACCCGTAGAATTAATTAATTTAGACATTAAGATTTAGAGTAAAGATGTGAGGTTTAGAGTTTAGGATTTCGGGTTTAGAATTGAAGAGTGAGGTTTTAAAGATAAGATTTAAAAATAATTCAAAAATAATTCAAAATAAAAAATACTATTTCGGTTATTTTAGTTTTTAAGTTCTATTTTTTTGATAAAAATTTTAAAAAAAATATTTGAGAGAATTTCCCTAAATAAGAACACATAAAAATGAAACAAATTAAATTAAATGGAATTTATTGTTGCATCGAGAAATATACAGAAACAATCAGTTGACACAAAAAAATACAGAAACAATCCGTATATAGAAAAACAAAAACGTATCTTAATTTATTTATTAAAAAAATTGGGGGTTTACATTGGGGGTTTTGAAAGAGAGAACTCGCTGCTATTCGTCACTTACTTTATAAAACGGCTTCCGTCGTCAATGGCATGAACCCAAAAAAAAACCTTCTTCTTCTCTCCTTTCAAATTTTCTCTCCATCTCTCTCCTCCTCACTCTGTCTCCATCACTCTCACGCTTTTCTCGCCGCCCCTTTATCCTTATCCGATAAACCCATTAAAACCTAGAGCACAAAAACAACACTTTTCATTTTGTATTCAGAGAAAGAAATTCCAGAGCTTCCGGAAAAACACAACCGCGGTTAATAGCAGGTCTGTCTTTCACACACACTCTCTCTCTCTGGTTTTCGACTCCTGGGTCTCTGTTTTTCTGCTTTTTTGGTTTAAAACAGAGGAAAGTGCAAAGAGCTTTCACTCCAAATCCTCACTGTTTGAACACTGTTCTAATTTGAAGCAATATAAATCTTATTTTTGGCCATCCTCCGTGTTGTTTGCTTGGAGCAATGAGATGTTGAGTCTAAATAAACTCAAAAGCATTTCAAAAAAAACTGGAGCTTTCCCAGCTTCTAGATTGTTGACTATTAAACAAATAGCTTATTAGATTTTCTCTTTTGCTGATTTTGTTGGTGATATTTTTCAGGATTAGCGGATTAAAACCCAGAAACAAGGAGATGAAGTACGTACTTGTAACGGGAGGTGTTGTGAGTGGATTAGGCAAAGGAGTAACAGCAAGTAGTATCGGTGTTCTTCTTAAAGCTTGTGGTCTTCGTGTTACTTCTATCAAAATCGGTACTTTTTATTTCTTCTTTTTCCGTCTCTGTTACTCTTAAGTCAAATGATGCTGTGCTTACGTGGATCACTTAATCTCCAGATCCTTATCTAAACACCGATGCTGGAACCATGTCTCCCTTTGAGCACGGAGAAGTGTTTGTCCTGGACGATGGTGGTGAGGTAAATAAAAATATTTTTAATTTTTTCTTTTAAATAAACTTTTTTTTTATCAGCTTTTGAATCTTTTTGTTTGGTGTGATTTGGAATGAAAAGGTGGATCTTGATCTTGGAAACTACGAGAGGTTCTTAGATATCAAATTAACCAGAGACAATAACATCACTACCGGAAAAATTTACCAGGTTAACTAATCTATATCTCAACTAATTGGAAGTTGCGTGTTGGTTGTGTAGGTTTACTGATTTTTTTTTTGTTTTCTTCACAACAGCATGTAATTGCGAAAGAAAGGAAAGGAGATTACTTGGGAAAGACTGTTCAGGTAATCATTAAGCTTTTTTTTTTCTCTTTTTATGTTCTGTTGTTAGTTTCTTTCCAACTTTATAGTATTTTGTGGTTGTGATTATTTTTAGGTTGTTCCTCATATCACTGATGCAATTCAAGAATGGATAGAGAGAGTTGCTGCTATTCCTGTTGACGGAGAGGAGGGTCCAGCTGATGTCTGCGTTATCGAATTAGGAGGAACTATAGGTTATTATTATTTATTTTTTTGAACACAGGGAGGAACTAAGTTATACACAAAAATACAAATTAAAATTTGGATTTATTATTCGCTACTTCTAAATAAACAGAGATTATTTTTGTTTGCAGGTGATATTGAATCTGCACCTTTTATAGAGGCACTTGGCCAATTCTCTTACCGTGTAGGTTAGAATCATTTCCACTCATACCATTTCAATCCAAAAAGTAAAGAAAATATGTTTTTGGATATGATGAAATAAAGTACTGTATCTTTTGGTTGGTGGTTGAGTTCAGGACATGGGAATTTCTGTCTGGTCCACGTCAGCCTTGTGCCTGTGCTTAATGTTGTTGGTGAACAGGTAGATATATTTTCCTGAAATGATGCGACAGTATTTGATTCTGTATATCTTCATTTACTTTGTTATTTTCCTTTCAGAAAACTAAACCGACACAGCATAGTGTCCGGGGCCTACGAGGCTTGGGCTTGATACCTGATATCTTAGCTTGTCGGAGCACAAAGGTTTGGTCTCCATCTTGACTCTAAATTCGTCTCCTGGTGTGTTAACTTCTTTTTTTCTTATATTCTTCGTTCAGGCACTTGAAGAGAATGTGAAAGAAAAGCTAGCTCAGTTTTGCCATGTCCCGGTAAGATGCTGCCTTTTTTTTTGTCTATTATTGTAATGTTATTTACTTTAAATCTCTGTTATTTATGAGCCTATGGTTCTTATTTCAGCTTGAGAATATATTCACTCTATATGATGTTCCCAACATTTGGCACATTCCACGTCTGCTTAAGGTACCTTTTTCTCAACTAAATTTATTGTAAATCATCAAGAAAACAATGCTCAATGTGCAGATACTTTCTCGAACAGGATCAGAAGGCTCACTTGGTTATCTCGAAAGTGCTCAATCTTGCAAGGTATGTATTTATATATATATATCCTTTGCTTTCTTGGCATGTGGTGGATTGGAAGTGATCTATTTCGTTTCTGAAACAGTATTGTTAAAGAACCTTCTCTAGAGGAATGGACTTCCAGAGCCGAACTATGTGCCGACTTGCATGTGCCGGTTGGTCTCAGCTTTCGATAAGTCGTTACAAACGGTTAACTACAGTGACTCTTTCTTTAACGCATCAAATTACATATACAGGTGAGAATCGCTGTTGTGGGGAAATATACCAGCCTCTCTGATGCTTATCTCTCTGTACTGAAGGTAGAACTTACACATCACCTCATGAGGCAGTGGTTTCTAGATTAAACTCACATTTGGATAACTTGTGTAGGCTCTCTTACATGCCTCTGTGGCTTGTCGCAAAAAGCTCGTAGTTGATTGGGTTCCTGCTTGTGATCTCGAAAAGGAAACTGAGAAAGAGGTCAGTGAATGAGACATGTTAATTACACATGTATTCCTTTTGCTTGTCTTGACAAGTTGTAAACAAGAATCATGTTTTATTTTGTGGTTTAAGCAGAATCCAAATGCGTATAAAGCTGCTTGGAAGTTGCTCAAGGTTTGAATTGTTTAATGACTTCAAATCATCTTAGAAGCTTTTGTGTGTATATATCATGTTTTAATGACTCTATTAGTATATATTACCAGGGTGTAGATGGAGTTCTTGTACCTGGAGGCTTTGGTGATAGGGGAGTGGAAGGAAAGATTCTTGCTGCAAAATATGCTCGTGAAAACAAGATCCCTTTCCTAGGTATTTGTCTTGGTATGCAAGTCGCTGTCATTGAGTTTGCACGATCAGTTCTCTGCTTGCACGACGCAAACAGCACAGAATTCAAACCTGAAACTAAGCATCCATGCATTGTATTCATGCCTGAGGTTCTTAGACTCTCCCACTCTCTACTTGAAATGTATTTTCGTGTAGTACTTGTCTTCCTTATTCATCCTGCTCGGTGATTTTAGGGGTCAAGAACTCATATGGGAGGCACTATGCGCCTAGGTTCAAGAATATCCATCTTCAGTGCCAAACACAGCAAATCTGCCAAACTGTAAGAACCATTGGTTCTGTGAATGCTATAGTTTTACTTTTCTTTTTAATGTTACGATGTTCTGCGCCGAAGGTCCGTACTTCCTCTAGGGCGAGTTCCAAACCATTTTATATTAAAACTAACTCTCTTTTGGATAGTAGACCGTGCTAACTGGAAATTGAACCCATGTCCCTTAAGATCTCTATTAAGTAATAAAAGAGTTTTAGCCACTATTTAACATAATGGTTTTGTTTACTCGGTTTTTACAGCTATGGGAACCAAACCTTTGTGGATGAGAGGCATCGTCATAGATACGAGGTGAATCCTGATATGGTTGAACGGCTAGAGAAGGCTGGTCTCTCTTTTGCTGCAAAAGATGAAACTGGCAAACGCATGGAGGTCTGTTAAACTATTTGTATTGTATCTAATTCAAATCCTTGACTAACCTTTGTCTGGAAATTATCAGATTGTTGAACTTCCAAGTCATCCTTTCTTCATTGGTGCTCAGTTCCACCCAGAGTACAAATCCAGACCCGGGAAAGCTTCTCCTCTCTTCTTAGGTCCGGAACCGTTTCCTGATCAGTCAAAAAGATTCAAACTAATATATCTGTCTGTTATTTTGAATCAACACAAGTCAGTCTTCTAAGCAATCTTTCTTTCTTGTTTTGTTGCAGGACTCATTGCAGCATCTTGTGGTGACCTAGACTCTGTCATGAATCCAGCCTCTGCTCATCAGTATCTGATTAGTAACGGTCCCAGAAACGTTTTCGTCAATGGAACCTCAAAGAAAGCTCCCAATGGCTTGGCTGATGTAAGACACAACAACGGATACAGCAATGGCCACTACACTAGGTAGCTGCAGCTGAAGCTCTAGAGACTCCCTTTTCTCTATCCATTAGAATTCTTCATTTTCGGTTTTGGTTTGCTTTTTTTTTTTTACTAAACTTTCTATCTTTCCTGTGTACATATGATTCAAGCTTTTGTCAAGTTTTTAGACTCTTTTTAGCAGAATCTATGTTCTTGGAAAGACTGTAGAAACGTCTGAAAATCGAGGTTGATTTTCCCTGGTTTGTTTTTTTTTCAATCAAAAGGAGATGATATGATCATATGTACCGTCGCAAGATTTTCTATTCTGATTTCGTTGTGAGTGTTAAAGCCATCATTTATATACTAAACTAGGGATTGGCCCGCCTTACAGGCGGAAATGAGTTTACGAATTTGACCGAACACTTGAAAATTTAAATGTTTGTTCTGAAGTAGTTTAATTGTTGTGTGTTGTTTCATTTTTACCTGATACTGTATATTATGGTGGAAGTCGGTTGTTTTGTTCCGTAGTGAAGCAATGTGTGCTTTCTTTGTGTGTTTGTCGTTCGGTGATGACATTTCTAGTTAATAGGTTCAGTGTGGTGTGATGGAGAGGAATGTTTAGCAAGTAACTTATCGATATAGGTTTGTGTAACTTGGTTATGTGAGAGTGATTGTGTATATTTTATCGGTCGTTATGGGGTCACGGTTGGGTTACTCAGCTCCGTGAGAGTTTGTGGGATGGAATCGGCTTGTTTAACCATGGATGTCTTCTATCGACCTGTGTTGTGATATTTGTTAGGGAGGAAAAATTTAGATATGATATAAGTTGCTTGCTTAGCAAGATAGCTTACATGGAGACAGTTGGGGATTGATGTTGGAAGATCCTCTCAAAGCTCGAGCATTTAGTCCGGCATAAGGCACTGTTTTCGGAGTTCCTACGTAGCAAAAGTAGAGGACCAAGTATTTGTGAAAAGAATATGGCTCAGGAGCTTCGATCGTTTAGTTGTGAGAGAATAGGTGGTGAGTATATCTCCAAGCTTCTATTTTTATTTGAAACATTTTTGCCCAATTATTAGGAAGAGGTTGAGGATCAGGATCCTGAGCGTTAACACTGGAAAAGGGTTTCGGATCAAGATCTTATTATTTGCTTAGTCCAAAATGACTGTCGAGGTTAACAATTTGAAGGGGAAAAAATGTAAATCAAAACAAAATAACTATAAGCTTGGAAGTACTCAGATTTTACACTGTAAGGAACTGAAATTTAAAAACAAATGCAATTTAAATGCACTCTTGTCCTGTAACTAAATCTCCCCTTGTGCTTTGGATGTCATGTTACTCACCAAGTCTCTCTTCCATCAATAGAGGTGTGGCTTGAAGCTGTGGCCTCACCTTCTCCACCTCCAACATCGTCATTTACCACACAGTCACCATTTTCCACGGGAGTGATCTTAAGTACATCACCCTTACAGAACATGATTTCATCAAGGAGCTTAGACATTCCATAAAAAACACTTGGGCATACATTTGAGTGCCTGAGAAGACACCAAAGAAATCTTTAAGACATGGAGAGATTTTGAAACCTCCCGTAAGCATTACTTTATAAAAAATGTACGCTATTAGCTTATACCTTTCTATGCTCATGGTGTACTCTTAGTTACTTCATTGTAAGTAGTCCTAATGCTTCTTACACGCCCAGCAATATCTATTGGAAAATATATATATATATATATACTAGATGATTTTCCCGTGCTCATGCACGGGCATAAATATTTATAAAATAAATATATTATAATAGTTTATTGATATTTATTTTAACTTTTATATTAATTTATAGTTTTTATGTATAATTATATTAATAATATTATATTATTTTAGTTATATATAATTTTAGATATATTATATTTAGTTAGTTTATTACTTGGATATATATATATATATATATATATATATATATATATATATATATATATATATTGGATTCTATCTATTTCTCTGAATTCAACTATAATCTTTTTTATTCTAAATACCTTAAATTTTTGATTAATGGTTTTATTTACATTTATGTTGGTTGTTATCTTAGAAATATACGTATATCTTAGTAAGATTATGTATTTTAATATTTTTTCTGCTAAAAACGAAAAAATAAAAACTAAAGTGTCTAATTCTAAATTACATACATAAGTAATCATAAATTTTCAGAAGCTTATGAAAACATATAAATATTTACAATAATTAAATATTTTAGAAATTTTAAATAATTTATGCCTTAGATTGATTGGATGGTAAACTGAAATTTATTTTAAATATTTTTTAAAATAAAGAATTATAATTTTCTTAAGTATTTTGATTATAGTTATATTATATTCCACAAACATAAAAACAAAAAACTAAACATCAAAAGAGTTATTAAGAAAACATATAATTTTAACTATTAAAATATAATATATCTACCTCGTTAAATTATATAGGTTTATGATATTTTAAAAGAATTGTAGTTATCTGATCAAAAGATGTTTACCATTAAATTTATTTTTAGTTTTGTTTTTAATATCTCTTAAAATATGCAGTAAAAATGTGATTGTTTTTGAGAAATTATATTATATAAGTAAAATATAATTTATATATTTTGCTGTAACGGTAAGATATTATAATCAAATAAATATACTAATTATAATTTTTTTGTCAATTAAACATATATCAGTTTATGCTACTTAATTATTTTATGTAATCATCTAATAAAATAGATAGATATATACAAAAACTAATTACTTTGAAAATATATATTTTATTGTTTAAATTATTTTTTTAAAGAAAAAATATTTCTTTTTCTAATATCAAGATTATTTGTATGAAACTTTTTTCTGAAAACACATTATATACAAATATTTTTTTTTCATCTAAGAAGATATAGATATAAAGTATAATTACTTAAAAAGTATAATTTATGTTATTTAAAAATATATTTAAGTTAAATATTACTATTTTGTAAACTTTCCTTTTTTATGAAACCATATTATATATATACTTATTTTTCGTTTTTAAATAATTTGTAAATTTTAGAAATATTTCCTTTTTGTTTTATATTGTTATTTGGAAGATTTTAAAAAGGAAATAATAATATTTAAATATATTTTTAATTCATTAGGGGTATCATAGTAAGCAATCAGCGTGAGAGTTAACGTGAGCGCGACACCTAAGAAAGTGACTTCTCAAATAATATTATAGAGATATATGCTAAGCTAGTAAGTGAAAAATAAAATAAATGTTATCAGAATTATTGGATTTTGGATTTAAATCTGACCTAGTAAATAAGTGTTCGTGTTGGCTAGTTCCATTACCTATTAAGCCGTCTGAGTGAAAATAGATTACTTAAATAAAATATTATTCATATAAAGTAAAAGGTCAGACCAAAAGTTGAAGCTAACTAATAAGTAGAACGTACCTTCCCAGCAACATAATAATGATACATCGACAGTAAAAGCTCCGGTAGAGTAAAACGGACATATGTAGGAGAAATCTGAAGCTAAAAGAAGTGGAGGGACCTCTTCTGGTGTCAATATTATACATCATATGTTTCTTAGCTCTCCATCTCCAAACCATGAGTCTTAAACTCTTCCTTGCCAAATCACCTAAGACAATGAATGACCAAATTTTATGTTTGTCCAAACTTGCTGTAGATCATTAAGCAAATACATAGATATTTTATGTCAAAGAAGGCACTGATGTTGAAAACTCTTTTAGTGTAGTTGAAGAAGTCATTTCAAGAGAATCAAACATGATGGCAGCAATGATAAGAGATCGAGTCACCGAAGGACTGTTTCCTGTAGTAAATGAAACTGATTCTTCAGTGGTTGAATCTGATGGATTTTGCACGATTAGATGTTAGACTTCATGCTTGCTGTAGTCTTTTCTTTTTTTTTTATGATGAAGAGTTATAATGAAGTCCAAATCTGCAAGTGTTTCAAATTTAGTGACGAAGCTATTAGCAACAATCTATTGAACAACTAAAAAAAAACTGACCTAATCATCCAAGAGAAGCATATCTTGTTAGCATTCCTAACTTCCCAATACCGGAGCAGGCATGTCACAACGATCCGATCACAACGTCCTGGCCTCAACTCAGAAAGAGAGATATGGGAAGCAACCATTATCGGTATGTGTTTGAGGTCTGTGTAGAAAATCCAATGATTCTTTGCTAACAAAGAAGCCATGAACGCTTATTTATAGGCTCATATTGGGGAGAATCCGAAAAGATCGAAAGTTCTAGTCAATGAGAAGTAGTGGAGGAAAAAATTGCTCGAGCCAAAAATCTATTACTTGATCCAATGATTCTGTGCTAACAAATACATGTATTTTACAATTTTATCAATAACAAAAATACGAAAGAATCAATTACAAAAACATTTTCATTTCGTTATTAATTGATTCCTAATAATTATTTTCTGTACAAAATAAAAATCCCTAATATTTCTCACACTACACCCATGATCTCTCTTTAAAACGGTTAATCTTTCTAATTAAACTGACGTTGCTATATATTTCACACTAAATTCATCTTTTCTTGATGTAAAAATGGTAAATTCTTTTTTTTTTTTGCAACATATTCATTGATTCTCTCTGAATTTTCAACATCAAACCTTATAGATCAAAAATTTCTTATGACGTATTCACACTACCAAATCAACAATTTTAAATGAAGACTCAAATACTTTCTTTCAATAAAATAAAAGGAAGAACACAATATGGGATGGATTGATAAGCGAGTCGTACGGCAAAACTGGAAGATGAAGATTAAGGTTCAGGTTAGTGAAACTAAAAAACACCCAAACTCTTCATGTTTAAATTAATATCTTTTTCATAATTTTTTTTTCTTTTTAGTTTACTTATAACGTTTTTCCTTTCTTAGATATTTACAAACACAAAATACTACTCAGGGGAAAAGAGTCAATGTAAACAAGAATATGTAAGTGTCAAAAAAAAACAGGAATATGTAAATAACATTTTAAAAAATGGACTAGATCAATTTTGATTTACTGATATACTAGGATAAGACCTGCGCCTTGCGCATGGTGAATATATGTAATTAAAATATAAAATTTTAGTATTGACAAATTTAAAATTTACATATGATTGTTTTTGTATGTATTTGAAATTTAAGAATTTTGAAATTTTTATATAATTGTCTATACATAGGATCAGAAACAATTTTAATTAGAAATGTAGATCAAATCTTAGAATTTAATGGATCTGTTTTCATATATCTTTTCACTTTTCAGTGTTCGAGTGATGAAAAATAAATGGAGTGTTACTGGGCTTGATTGGTAGAGTATTAGCAAGTTCCCTAATGTTTTTTAAGAAGCAATTGGTAAAATGTTTGCATTTAAAATATATAAAATTTCAAAACTAATTCAATATAATTTATTTATCTGTCTAATAATATTAGAAAGTTATATTTTTTACAAATTATTATTTTTTAAAATAATTTATAAAAAAATATGTTAAATTTTAAATTATTTTAAAAACAATATTTTAAGTTTTTCAAATACAAATAAATAATTTAAAATTAATTATGGTCATGATTTAACATAACCATAATGATTTTAAAAATTAAAAAAATTAAAAATTACAAATTAAAAATTAACTCAGTTTTATATCATGATTTAACAATTTAAAAATTAATTATGGTTATGAGAAGTTTACGTTCACGTGTCAGTCCTATTTATCTTCCATTTTTCTCTTGCTATGTTTTTTTATATTTTGGTTATTACTCGATATAAATATTTATTTTGAATTTTATTCTCATTTCGTTTGTTATAGAAAATACTTAAGATTTAAAATAATTAAAGAGATACATATTTAAGTTAAGATATGCACTTTATGCACAATAAGTATTTTATATTTTATTATTTATTTTATATTTTTCTGAATATTATAAATAATAAAATAATAAATATATATTAAATAACTAAGAAATCAGTTACTATTATGTAATAAATTGGCGTATGCATATAAATTCAACTATTACTCTTGTTTATTCACAATTAGGGTAAATAAATCAAAATAATCAATCTTATATATTGTATATGATATATAATTAAAATTAAATGATGTAAACATAGTAATATAACACACTTTTAATATGATATTAATTAAATGAGGTTTCTACTCATATGATTTTATGATTATTTGCATATTTGTGTAACAAAACTTTACACCAACGGATTTTTTTTAATGTGAGATGTTTAGTAGTTTCAATAATTTATAATCATTTAAAAAAAACAATGACATATTTCAAAATTAAAATATTAACTTTTCAATATATGTTCAAGGTAAATATCAAAATATAAGTATGTATTTTCATACGATGTATAGTTTAATTAAAATGATATTAGATATATATATAAAATAAAATTATTACCTTGATATTAAAAGTTTATGTGGCACTTTTAACAGTTTTAGTAATTTATACTCATTTTGAAAAATTCGAAATACAACATACACAAAAAAAATCTAATTTTTATTATATGATTAATGTAATTGTGTAATTTATTTTTAATAATAAAGAAATAAACAAAATGAAAAAAGTATACAGATTGTTATCAAATCTTTATTGTTTAAAATCATTAGTTGTCATATATATATTTTGATCACATTAGGTAATTCCGTAGGTTTTATTTAAGGAAAGCATGTGAAACAATAAATATTTGATATATGTGACCAACTATAGCCTATGAAATATTATATTGCTAGAGAATATAATTTTTAAACTATACATTATATCACATGCTCTAGAATCCTTGGGATTTGAAATAGAAGCCAAAGAGCTATGCTACATAGGATTGAGGTTATTTTTAATTCTTATAAACTTAAGGTTACAACTTTTTAAATGATTCTCAAATAATATATAGCGGATGTTTATTTGTAGCAATAGTGATAGTTTTTTTCAGAACGGTAGTGATAGTTTGGAAAATGAAATAATAGTCTCGCCTCAAAACACACGTACACAGCTCCTTATATTTTTCGAGAATCTCCACAAGAAGAAAATAAAAACAAAAAATGAGGGTCAATTAGAAATCTCTTTTCCTAGCAATACAAAAAATTTTCACACGGCTGTCAAAATCTCAAGGTCAAAGAATTTCATTGTCAAACTCATTGAAAACTATGGTAACACCCATAGAGCTGAAGCTTCAAAGGTTCAAGTAGCAATCAGTTACTTCAAAGATCTCTACAAATCTTCTAACTCAGAAGATTATACAAGTCTACTCTCCAACCTTTCAACAAAAGTGACTGAGAGTATGAATCGATCCTTGATTAGTATAGTTACCCCTGAAGAAATAAAAGAGGCAATTTTCTCCATCAAAACTCATAGCACTCCAGGAGCGGATGGTATGTCAAGTCTATTTTTTCAATCCTATTGAGATATAGTTGGAGAACAGCTTACCAAATAAATCATGGGTTTTTTGATTCTGGAGTTATGCCTTCAGAATGGAATTATACACAAATTTGCTTAATTCCAAAGAAGAACAATGCTACCTCTATGGCAGATGTTCGACCTATTAGTCTTTGTTCAGTAATGTACAAAGCAATTTCCAAGATTTTATCTTCAAGACTAAAGGTTTTTCTTCCCGACATTGTATCACCATTTCAATCTGCCTTTGTCTCAGACCGGCTAATCTCTGACAACATCATTTTAGCTCATGAATGTGTGCACAACTTAAGAACACATGAATTTGCTTCAAAAAGTTTTATGGCAGAAAAAACAGATATGTCAAAGGCTTTTGACAGAATATAATGGAATTATCTCCGTGCTCTTCTATTAGCTTTGGGTTTTCATGAGACATGGGTTTCTTGGATCATGGCATGTGTTACTTCTGTCAAATACACGGTTCTTTTGAATGGTCAACCTTATGGTTTTATTTCTCCACAGCGTGGTCTTCGTCAAGGAGACCCAATATCTCCCTTCCTTTTTTTCCTCTGTGCAGAAGGTCTCTCTCATATGTTAAATCAAACGTCAGAAGCAGGGTCACTAGAGGGTATCCAATTCTCTATAGACGGACCATCCATTCACCACTTGTTTTTTGCAGATGACAGTATGTTCCTATTTAAGGCAGATACTGAGCAATGTCAGGTTTTTCAAAGGATCCTCAAAAATTATGAAGAAGCCACTGGTCAGGTCATCAATCTTTCAAAATCATCTCTGACATTTGGTAGGAACATTGATCCAGCTGTAAAAGAAAAAATTCAAAATTATCTAGGTATTTATGCCGAAGGAGGTGCAAGTTCTTACCTAGGCTTGCATGAGTGTTTTAGTGGTTCTAAGGTTAAACTGCTAAACTACATTCATGACAAGATGAAAGGAAGGATTTCAGGTTGGTATACTAAATTTTTGTCACAAGCTGGAAAAGAAATCATCCTGAAATCTGTTGCTCTTGCTATGCCCATTTATGCTATGATGTGTTTTAGACTGCCTAAAACCACATGCAAAAAGCTAACTTCGGCTATGGCAAATTTTTGGTGGCATTCAACTGAAGACAAAGCAAAAATCCACTGGATTAGTTGGGACAAGTTATGCATTCCCAAAGAGAGAGGTGGTATGGGTTTGAAAGATATTGAAATCTTCAATCAAGCATCACTTGCAAAACAAGCTTGGAGAATTTTGTCAAATCCTTCTT